GCCACTTCCCGGGCCACCTGGTGGACGTCAGCGGCGCCGGGACGCTGTCCCACAGCTACCAGTATGAGGTGTGTCTTTCGGGGGACGCTGGGACCGATGAGTTCAAGTTCTTGAAGCCAGTTTTTCCCAAATTCCCGCTTCAGTGCCCTGGGAAAGAAATGGAGGAGAATCCTAACATTGGCCATAGCTTTGGAGTCAATATTTAGTGAATATTTACTTTTATATTATACTCTGTATAGTGTTTAGTGCTACACCCAAAACAAGTATATTTTTCTCTCTTTTTTATTTTGCATGTTCTACCCAGTTTTACTCTTAGGTAAATGTTTATTTGTGGTTGTAATGAGCTGGTAACTTATTCTCTAAGCAGGAAGTCTTAATTTGTACTTAACTTGCCTCCTTAAATAACACCATATCATATTTTGCCCAATGCTCTCTTCAATTGAAATTTCACCAGTAATTATGGCTATGGTAAAATAAAATCTGCTCTTTAGGAGAATTTCAATTGTTCAAACATTTCTTCACCTGGTTCTTTTTTTTGTAGTTTTTCTTATGGGTAGTAATAGTTGCTATTTAAGAATATTATGTTTTTCCTTTACATCCACTGCATTTTAGGTTAACATTTAATAATATTTATTATTGTTGAATATAAATCTGAAAAATCATATCTTATGATACAATCACCTTGTTGGAATAGGCCAGGAAGCAATTTTCTTAGCACTCTTCCTTATTCATTCTGAAGAGTGACTGGGGATGTATTCTGAAGAGTATATTGTGGACACATAGAAATCTCTGACTTGCAAAAGTGGCAAGTCAAAGTCCAAATACCACTTTTTGAGAGATAGATGTAAAAGATTGCTAACTATCAAAAGGTAGTCCATTAGGTTATGATATTTACATTTTTTTCCAAGCCATTGTATTAGATGTCTGTGGCAGACACCACCCAACCACTCTTAACTTTCAGAATCTAACTACAGTAAAGAAGGAAAATCCTTCATGATTAAAAGAAATGTTCTTCCATTAAGCCCTAGAGTCTTATCATGATGTGCAAAGAATTATAGATAAAATGAGTAGATGTAGAGAGAGAAAGGAAGTGGGTTTAGTGTTTTAGTGCCACAGACTAGAACCAATGCCAGAAACAACCTCTTGAAGATTTAAGTTTTGGTACATTTTCTTAACATTGTAGAGGATGGAGGATTAGTCACTTGATAACTTTAGGAAATAAATTGCTCACATATCCAAGATGATCCAATGTTCACACTTTTTGAAAGGTACATTTTCTTTAGCAGTTCTTTTGTACTGTGTGGACTGATTACTCTTTGCTTTCAAGAAAATTGAACAGAATTCAACTGTGTACATGAAGGTTAATTAAATTTCAATTTTCTATCTTCAGAAGTGGAACTCAGAGTAAGTTATCTCCATCCTCTCAAGTACAATCTGCTCATATGGAGAACAGAACCTCCACAGATATTGATAAATCCAAGTGAAGTATTAAGATTACTTCTTCACTGCTTTTAGTAGGATAAAGATGGACAACTACTAGTATAGAGGTATAAAACATTATCAACTCTTATCAGACAGATGCATAGATGGAAGGTGAAAATAATAGCGACTTTACACACTAGAATGGGTATAATGAAAAAGACAGATCAGACTATATCAAATGTTGACCAGGATGTGAAGAGATTGGAACACTCATGCCTTAGATGGAGTGGTTAGGTCACTTTTGAAGACAGTTTGGCAGTTTCTCATACATTATGGTCCAGAAATTCAATTTCCATCTATCTATTTAAGACAAATAAAAATATGTATACATATACACACAAGCCACCGTAAGCATGAATATTTATGATAGCATTATTAATTTAAAAAAGTAGAAATAATCCAAATGTCTTGGGTAAACTGTGAAATGCTATATAATAGTAAGAGTTTATTATTAAGCAATAAAATGAAATATGGATACATGATACAACTACATGAGACAGACCTCAAAAATCTTTTTTAAAAAAGATTTATTTATTTATGCATACAGAACTGGGGTACAGGCCAGAAGTGCAGGGGCAGTGAGAGGATTCACCAGAGACAGAGTAGGGAGCAGAACAGGCTGACTGACAAAGTACACTGCTGAGGGGAGCAGCGGATGTGTCAGGAGAGGTCTATCATGCCATGTGGATCACATCTGGGGCAGGGATCAAACTCATGCTGAAGTGGCCTTAGCTTCTCAGTGCTGTACTTTAACCTTCTGTGCCACCAGGGAGGGCCCAGGCCTCAAAAATCTTATGTCAACTGAAAGCAGCAGGCCACAAAATATTACCTATTACACGATCACATTTTATATGAAGTGTTCACAATAGGCAGGTTAGTGGTTACCTATAGTAGGAAGGAGGGTAGGGAGTGATGACTACTAATTCCTTTTAGGTTTATTTTAGGAAGAACTTTTATGAAGTATTCCAAATTGTGTTGATAATTGTACAACTCTGTAAAAATATTTGAAAGCATTGAATTGTAGACTTTTGGTGGACAATTCTACATAGGTGATATCTCAGAACAGTCTTAAAAATGGAGGTGGCAATGGTTTTAGAGGCCTGTGTCCTCAGGCCTTCTCTTCCATTATTGGGGAGAGTGAAGAGCAGATTAAAAAGCTCAGGCAGGGCCTCCCTGTGACACAAGGGGTTAAAGCATAACACTATGAAACTATCTGCAATCATTGTAGCAGCACCAGTTTGATCCCCAGCCAGGGATTTGACATACATGGCACAGCAGAACTCTCCTGTCTTGCCTATTGCTCCCCTCAGCAGGGTTTTCCAGTCAATCATCCTGTTTTGTCCAACACTCTATCTCTGGTGAATGCTCTCACCCCTCGCACCTCTGGCCTGTACCCCAGTTCTTGTATGCAAAAAAAAAAAAAACATGAATCTAAAAAGATAAAATAAGAGCTTTCTTGGTGGTACAATGGGTTAAAGCACAGTAATATGAAGCTACAGCCACTGCAGCATGGGTTTAATCCCGGGCCAGGGAGGTGACCCACATGGTGCGGCAGACCTCTCCTGTCTTGCCCACTGCTCCCCTCAACAGTGTACTTTGTCAATCTGCCTGTTCTGCTTCCCAAGCTGTCTCTGGTGAATCCTTTCACCCCCATGCCTCTGGCCTGTACTCCAGTTCTGTGTGAATAAATAAATAAATAAATCTTAAAATAAAATGCTTAGGCAGAAAATCTGAGATAGAAAAGAAACATAGACAATGTATTTGTAAGCTAAAGTATCATTATAATCTTTATTTCCTATTCTTGTGTAAGTCTAACCAAAATTGGTATTTGGATTTTACTGATTAGATTTTTACTGATCAGATTTTTTTTACAATAAAAAGACAAAGACCAGGTAGCTGTCCTGATGCTTCATTTTTCATGAACAGGAGGACTTGTCAATCTGTGGAAAATAGTATAGTTGTCCTGACTCTAATGGAGAGTGGCCAGGTCTTTTAGTTCAGACACCCAGAGACAAATAATCAGTCAGTTTTTCCCTTATTATTATAGATAAGTGAATTGACTTATTAGCATACCCAACACAATAATCATCTGTTTTGGCCTTGCATTTTTATCTTAATCTGGTTTGCTTATTTGTTCTGGGACAGTTATAGATGCATTCCTTTCATAACCAAACAGTTCTCTTAAAATGTATTGCTCAAAACAAATCTTGCCAGGTTAGTACAAATACTTTGTTGAAAGTTAAATTTAAAACAGTGTATGGGGAAAAAAATCTGCATCAGTTCATTTTATATTAAAGCAATATAATTTGTCCAATGGAGAAGAGGTCACTTACAAAGTGGAGATGCAAGAGATCATCCAGATTAAAGGAGTAGATTTTCTTGAAAAATCTAATCAGTAAAATCCAAATACCAATTTTGGTTAGACTTACAAAGAATAGGAAATAAAGATTATAATCATACTTTAGCTTACAAATACATTGTCTATGTTTCTTTTCTATCTCAAATCCTGGTAGCACTCCTGTGTCCTCCAATTAATCTAACATGGCTTCTCAGTCCCTAGGTAGTCACCTCTATTCCAGTTCTATCATCACTGCCATTGCTACATGCTGTTCTGTGAAATAAGCACTGTACTATAAAATGATAGTTTAATGTCTCCCTCTGAGAACATAAACTTCTGTGTCTTTAGCCCTTTCTCCTACTACTTCTATCACATCTTGACAGAAACAGTATTCAACAAAGGTGTTTTGGTTACAGAATCTACTGTAGGTGTTTTCATTGTGATATATTTTAATTTAATGTCTGCCTTTTTTTTTTTTTGCCTCTGAGCTCTTTAAAGACAAGGATTACCTTTAACTTCTTTATGCCATATCCTTATATATTTTTAATATATAAGTGGAAAAGGCAATGACATTACTAGCTGTAGCTAATGGAATTAAACGGATATTTATGAGAGCAGAGGAGAGAATAAACTTGTCATTGCTCAAGAAATAGCCTGAATAAGATATTATTTCTTCAGCTCAGGACATTTACGTGGATTGTTCTTGTTAGACATTCAAAACAAGCCTAATTAAATGTATTGCACTGAACTTGTTTGGGCCCTGCATCAAACCAACTAACATATTGGGAAAACCAAACACAAACTTAGTATAAAATATATCGAGAAACTATTGCTAAATTTGTTCATCGTGATAGCAGTGTTGTAGTGATATTCCAAATGTTCTTATCTATTAGAGTATATAGTGAAGGATTTAAAAGTAAAGATATATGTCTTGATTTGTCTCAGAATATCCCAGATGTATTTATGAATTACTTGTTTAAAGAAAATTTTTACCAACCGAAAAAAAATACAAAAGAGACACATGGTGGCGCTATAGGATAAGGTGAAAACAGTGCTTGGGCAGACACTGTGGGCTCCATTATTCAGGGACACAGAGAACCTCGGACCCACTGAAAAGAGAGCTATGAAAGGAGCTTCACCTACAGAGTTCCTGGAGGTCCATGTAGCTTTCGGGGGTTCTTACTTTTAACATCAGAGATTCAGCATCCAGAATTAGGGCTGAACTTAAAATTTTCCACAAGAGGAAGAAACCATGGAGATCAGAGGGGCGCTGGCTCCGCTGAAAAGGCAAGTCCTGATTCTCTTTGTTTTGTTGGGATTGTCTCAGGCGCGTCTTGAATCTTTGCGTTATTCTGTGGCGGAGGAAACTGAAGTTGGCTCTTTTGTAGCCAATCTAGCAAGGGATCTGGGCCTAGGGGTCGAGGAACTGTCCTCACGGGAGGCCCAGGTAATGTCTGATGATAACGAAAAACATTTGCACCTGCATTTGCTGACAGGGGATTTGCTCCTAAATAAGAAACTCGATCGAGAAGTGCTGTGTGGCTCCACAGAGCCCTGTGTTTTGCATTTTCAGGTGGTATTAGACAACCCTTTACAGTTTTTTCAGGCTGAGTTGCATGTCAAAGATGTAAATGATCACTCCCCTGCATTCCTGGACAAGGAAATACTTTTGAAAATCTCAGAAAGTGCTACTGTTGGAACGACATTCCTAATGGAGAGTGCCCAAGATTTGGATGTAGGAAACAATGGTCTCCAAAACTACACAGTTAGCCCTAATTCTCATTTTCACATTAAAACTCGACAAAATGGTGATGGAAAGAAATACCCGGAATTGGTCCTAGACAGAGAGTTAGATCATGAGGAGGAGAATGAACTAAGATTAACACTCATTGCACTGGATGGGGGATCCCCACCCAAATCTGGGACGACTCTGGTTCTTATCAAGGTACTGGACATTAATGACAATGCTCCAGAGTTTCCTCAGAAGCTCTATGAGGTACAGATCACAGAGGACACACCAGTGGGTTCCTGGATTATCACAATCTCAGCTAAGGATCTGGATGCAGGAAATTATGGGAAAATATCTTACACATTGTTGCATGCATCAGAGGATATTCGTAAAACATTTGAAATAGATCCAATATCGGGAGAAGTTTATTTAAAATCACACCTGGATTTTGAAATAATACAATCCTACAGCATAAATATTCAAGCGACAGATGGTGGGGGTCTTTCGGAAGAATGCATCCTTTTAGCTAAAATAATAGATATAAATGACAATGCTCCAGAAGTTATCATGTCATCAATTACTAAGGCAATTCCAGAGAACACCTCAGAGACCATAGTTGCTCTTTTTAGTGTCCGAGATCAAGACGCTGGAGAAAATGGGAAGATAATTTGCTTTATTCAAGATGACATTCCCTTTTTTCTAAAACCCACCTTTAAGAACTTTTACACTCTGGTTTCGGAAAAAGCACTGGACAGAGAAAGGCAAGCCGAGTACAACATCACCATCACGGTCACGGACATGGGCACCCCCAGGCTGCAGACCCAGCACAACATCACCGTGCTGGTGTCCGACGTCAACGACAACGCCCCCGCCTTCAGCCAAAGCGCCTACACGCTGCTGGTGCGCGAGAACAACAGCCCCGCCCTGCACAT